GGGGGGAACTATAATAAAAAGAGGCCTTTAATTAAATGAAATTGCCACTCTGGGATCAGGCCTTCATGCTTGTCAGCGTACTCTCAAAATAAACATCTCAAAACTGGGCCTCGGCGGTGTCACTTTCTCACAGGCAAGGCATACTGGGTAATCCCCAAGCATCTTGACAGCTACATAATGTTCAAACTGTTTCACGGGTGAATGGCGGCAGTTGCATGAAAGAAAATATTAATGTCTGGAATTAATAGAAAAAAGGACCAGGGTTTACAAAGCCAAACAAGGAAAGAGGGTGTCAAGTTAGTGCAGCGTTAATTGTTAGGGAAAATTTGTGAAAGGGGGGAGCACATGGTGATTTTCTCTCTAAGCCTAAGTGCCTCACTGTCAAGAAAGTGGCATCTCAACTAGGCAGGTTCTGAAAAGGGGCCAGAGCTCAGGAATGCGACTCCCAGATTATACAAATGGTGAGCTGACACCTGAATGGGTGGACTTTAACCTTCCTCACTGGGAGCCTCAGACACAATGAGGCTCTTGTGGTATTTGGTACTCCTGATGGAGAAGGAAGCAAAGAGCCAAGAGACTAGATTATGTCTCTATTCTGGTGCTGTCTATGGACTGATAGAGACACTGAGCCTCAAATTCAGAATCTCAGGATGTTCAGAGCTCATGGCCCATTAACCTCTACCACTCTCAACTGACTGTAACCTTCATACACAAGGGTCTACATCCACAGAGTCAAACAATCCTGGGCCAAATGGAATTTTAAATGCATAAAATATGTCTATACTGAATAAGTATAGACTCCTTTCTCTGTCAGTATTCCCTAAAAAATACAGCAATTTATATACATTCATATTGTATAAATCATCTACTGATGACTGTAAATTTATAGGAGGATGCATGCAGGTTGCATACAATTTATCTAATATTTTAACCTGTAATAGTATACATGCACACATGCATATCAAAGTTTATATGTGACACTCTATATGAGACCTGCGTACTATAATATCTGCAGAGGTGCTAGAACTAATGCTCTGCATACACCTAGGAACAAATGTGTATGCTGGGGAACCTAGCAGCCAGGCATAAGTCCTACCAAAAAGGGGCACTAAATCGTCCCCATAGTAACTATGAATGGTAATTCTTTCCAGCATGCCCATTCAAAACACGGGCTTTCACTCTCCCTTGACCATATACATGGCAGGCATGCAAACAGACCACAAACATGGCTGGTTTCTTCCAAGCCTTGCTCAGTGCTAGGTACTCTAGGGGTTACCAAAGTGAATCAACCCAAGACCCTGCTTTTCTGCACCTGAGAGCAGCAGGCACCCATAACACAGCACAGGGTCCAAGAGAGTGAGGTCCAAATAGATTTGAAGTAGGTGTAGAATTATGATAAGTTGTAGGTGGGAAAGGTGAGTTCTAGCGCATAGGCTAGCGAAGGCTGAAATCTAGGAGAAGGGAGCTGAGATCAAACTGGAGCCAGCCGGACAGACAGACTGAGGTCACTGGAGCTGGAGGCAGAGCTCTGAAAGTGGAGCAGGGAGGAGACCCCCCAAAATGACTGGTGTTGTGTGGCCAAGTAAGCATTCCAGTGAAGCCAGAATTAAGGAACAAAAACATAAAAAGTAGATTGCAACAGGCTGTTTCTAGTCAGAGACCAAAGGGCCCTAAAAATACACAATAAAGAGTTTAGTTATTATTCTGAAAGAAATGTGGGTGTTTTATTTCCTGTCCCCTGCCTTTTATTTTTTTAAAGTAAAAGTAATATATGCATGCAACTTTGAAAGGTTTGAAATGAAACAAAGTCTGTACCCCCTTATTTGCTCCTGAACCCCTTTGTCTCCTGGCTCCATAAGCAGTTTCTTGGGCATTTTAAAGGGAATAAAATCCAGGCATGGCTTTGAAAGGCTCTGCTTTCCCAGGCACCATACTTTGGAGGTTGGTTTGCACTGGCCGTACACATCTACTGGAGTTTCTTCAATTAAGTAAATGTTTGTTGTGCTGCATCCACACAGTAAACTTGTCAATATTTTCACTAGTGTAGACAAAAGTGCAATTAGCATGCCTGTGTATCTATCTCGGAATTCAGTTTTTTGGAAACATTGTAATACTGTAACTTTGACCAAATTAATGTCTGATATTTTGGTTCTGAGAGACACTGTTAAATTATTTTCTAAAGCTTATCAACTTAAGAGCTGGTGGGATGGCTCAGAAGTTAAGAATACTTGTTCTTCAACAGAACCTGAATTCAGTTGCCAGTACCCGCATCAAACAGCTCACAGAGGAACCAACTACCTCCTCTGGCCTCCATGGGCACGCACACACATGTGGCATAGACACATACACCTACACATAATTAAAAATAAACATTTTTCTAAAAGTTTATCAAACTTTGAGAACATATATTTTGTTTCTTCACATATCCACTAACACTAAATGTTAAAAAATTTTATTTCAGTCATAGATAGAAAGCTACGCCTTTCCCCCATCTCTAACATTTTCAGTAATTTTTGCATTATTGTGATCTCTAATTGTGTTTCTTTGTCATATTACTGTTCTTATGACTTGATTGTCTTTCTTTTTAATTTTTAGTTTTAGGGGGTTTATCTTTCAATAAGCTCAGTTTGTCTTGTTGTTCCTGACTGGAATGGATTCCTCCTTATGGAAAGCTTGCTGACTATAAATCTTGTCAGAATTTACTTAAACAAATTATTATGAGCAATAAGTTATTTTCATTTTTATTTAATCAAATTAAGCAAGGTTGGACTTCGGGCTTTGTACTTTCATATCCTGCTTAGAAGCAATTTTCTCACTGTGAGACTATAGATGAATTCTGCCATGTTTCTTTTCATTGATTTTTGTACATTTTCTTTTTTTTTTTTTTTACACTTACGTTTTTGGTCCATCTGGAGTTATTTTAGTATGAAGAGGAAGGAAATTTAGGTCCCCTCGAGAGGAGAGTAAAGTGATCAGAGCCAAGCTTTAGACATATAAATCTGACAGCAGCTTATAATTTAGAATGAAGGAGAACAGGGAGAAAGCAAAGGCACCTGGTAGCTGAGCCTGATGCAGCAGCAGAAAACGCAGAACTAAGGAAAAGGCTGGGTGTAGACCATACGCCTATGAAGAGGAAGGAAATTTAGGTCCCCTCGAGAGGAGAGTAAAGTGATCAGAGCCAAGCTTTAGACATATAAATCTGACAGCAGCTTATAATTTAGAATGAAGGAGAACAGGGAGAAAGCAAAGGCACCTGGTAGCTGAGCCTGATGCAGCAGCAGAAAACGCAGAACTAAGGAAAAGGCTGGGTGTAGACCATACGCCGTACCCACACAGTACCCACGCCGTA